GAGTTAATTAAAATTCTTAAGATCGACTCCTACTATTACTTTGCAACAAAACTAAAGCATGGGGAAATGGAAGGGGTTATTCTAAGTTGTTTTACAGCTTTGCTTCCCAGTGTCCCAACTCTTAAAGGTAACAGCATAACCCAGTGTCTCAGAATTACTTCACCCTGTGGCCCCAAATAAATCCATAAAAAAGATTTACAGTAAGTCAAATATCCTATTTTATCACACGAAAGGGGAGCATATGAGATGAGGTTTATTTACATATACTTTTTCCATTATTCTATTTAAATCGTATGTGAAAAATGCATGCATCTTGGGTTGACGTTATATGGGTGTTGGATGAAAACATTGATAAATAGACCCCAAAGTGTGAGCATAGAGATGTAAGATATGTTGTACTGTGGTTATGGCACTGGTTCTTGGTTAAGCATACACTGTCTGCCTCTGCTGTAAATGGACAGCAGGGATGCAAACTAAATGTTATCACTTTTCCCTAACCAGAATTTCAATGATTTTCCGAATTAATTAATCATAATTAGTCATGATTTTACAGGCCCCCCTAGCTTTTCTACTGGAGATATGCCCCAAAACACAGACCCACCAGGGGCAATCAAATGACAGACATCCACTCTGTCTACTGGTTTTACTGGCTTAGTGTCCAGAGCAGAGATGGTTAGGGATTACAAGAAACCTCAAAACAGGAATAAGTATTCCCTCTACTCAAAATTATTTCAGCCCCTCTCATAGGATAGTAATGTTCCTTTAAGCAAAGACTGGCAAATCTTCTTCCTCAATCCATATCACTGGCAATACACCTCCGAGTGTTTGGCCAGAGTGAAATAAATATGCATAACATGTATCTTCATGCTCTATCTAATGAAAACATGCCCCAGGAGCAGGGAGAACTAAACAATCATTGCTGTCCACCAATTTAGAATGAGGATACTCCAGCTTATGGCATGGACCCTACATATTCATGTAATGAAATAATAATTCTTCTGGGTTTCTTAATTAGAGAATTTTGTAAGACTGTTGTAGATATATTCCTCTGCCCATAATTGTGCTACCATAGGCCCAGACCAATGAGGCTTTCCCTACAAATGTAATCCTTATTTTGTATATGCTATAATAATATAAATCAAACTGAAATTAGGATATTCAATAAATGTAGATCATGTTATCATAAAGATGTTTTTTTTTTTTATTTTATTTAGAAATAAACATATTATGGATATTTCTCATAATACAAAATATTTACAAGGAAATATAGGTGGTATGGCATAATTTTAAAAAAGCATTTTTTAAATGTTCTAAGATCAAACGAGTTTCAGTGCCCGGTATTACTCAGATAGTGGTGTGTCCTGAGAGAGGCAAATGTACTGATAATGCACAGTCAGATATACATTTCAGTGTTACCTGTGGTTTTTTTAGTCACTGTTGTCATACAATAGCTTATTATTTACCGCAGACTAGTAGATTCCACATGTTTGAAATATAGGACTCAGGATCTTAATATATATATATATGTACAAATAAAAAAAGTATGAAAATAAGAGTCCACAGGAGAAAAAAAAGAAATATTATATTAATACATCTCATTTGGAAGACCTGCTATCCCAAAATAAACTGTAGCAATAATGAATGCTGCAAAAACACCATTACACAGAAGTTTTATATTCACCTTGTGACAAACGCCATGAATAGCTATAAAGGCAGTGCTGACCTGTTATCACTAGTAAGCTTCCACTCTGTAGTGCTGACTGCAAGTCTTGCAGAAGTGGAAAAATCTAAAGTTAGCAGGAGATAGGCATTTGTTTCTCCAGAGAGTAAGACAGCTATCTATCATCAAACTCATTGATGCTCTTCTGGGACCTACTGCTGACTTTTTTACCAGGAATATGTGCATTTTGCATATAAAGTTGAACTGCAGCATGTTTAGAAAGATGTTCTACTATGTTGGAAGCATTTGTATTCCCCCTTAGGAAAGTCCTCATGGCCTCTTCATGAAAGTAATGCTCAGATCGAGCACATTGCTTGCAAGAAGTAGGCTGCAATTGGCCATCAAAAGCCTACAGACATAGAGGGTTGATTTAGGCCACTTTCGCACTGATCCACCGCAAAAACGCATAGGCGTTTTTACCGTGCTTTTGCCGCGCTTTCTGAGTGTTTTTAAAGGACACGTGACTTAAAAACTGCATCGAAAACACTTCTCAGGCGTTTTTGAGGTGCTTTTCAGACATTTTTCAGGCATTTTCAATTGATTTTAATGGGAAGAGGTGTTCTTGGAGCATTTTTTTTTTAACTCCCCAAACATGCCCCAAAGATGCTGCAATCAGTTGTATTTAAACCGCACCGCAAGCACAACGCCTCAGTGTGAAAACATACATAGATATACATTCAAATACATAGAGAAGCGTTTTTCTTGAGCTTTTCAGGTGCTTTTTTTTAAACACAAAAACACTTCAAAAACTCCTCAGTGTGAAAGTAGCCTTACTAAGGTGTTCGTTTATGACACAAAGAATAGCTGCGATTCCGAGGATCGCAGCTATTCTCTGGTCATTCACAGTTTATGACACTCAGGAGATCAGCGGAGAACATGTCCAGCCCTTCACTGGCGATCTGCTTAGTAAAGTGGTCTTTTACTGTAATCTTGCGAGATTATAGTAAAATCAGCCGTTTTCCAGTGTTTGTAGACCGTTCTCCCTTCGTTTGGAGAACTGATCTACACTGCTTCATAAACTGTATTCACAGGAGAACTGTGTTCTCCGAGAATGCCGGAGAACTGAGCAGAGATCTATTACCGCTGGTTCATAAACGAACACCAAAAACTAGAGAGTGCAAAAATCTGGTGCAGCTGTGTATGGTAGGCAATCAACTTCTAACTTCAGCTTTTTCAGTTAAACTTTGAGAAAAAAATGGAGGCTTGAAAACTTGCATTTCCATCCTTATCTTGAAGGAAAAATATAGCTTAGCCCGATGAAAATGATCAGTCAAGGGTTTCCATGAGTATCCTTTAACATAATGAAATCAATATTTATGGGTGCCTTTAGGCATCATGCACATGGGTTAGATCCATGCAAATGGATGAAAAAAATTGTAATTTATCATGTTATCTACTACATTTGACACCTGAAGCTTTTACTTATATTGAAATCATATATAACACTGTACTGCCTTTTCTGTTCTTATGGAAATGTTATATTATGTTTGCTTGTATTGAGCAGAAAAAAAAAGTGACACATAGCTACCTATAGCTGTGTTCCTGTATACTAAGGGCCGGTTCACACCATAGAAACGCAGTCCAGATGCTTTTCCACATGCGTGTTTGATGTGTTCCGGTGCGTTTTTGATGCGTTTTTGACGTGTTCTAGTGCATTTGTAATGCTTTCTGGTTTATTTTTTCCCCTCTCTTTTTTTCAATTTAAATAGAAACATGTGCGTTCCAGTGCATTTTAGGTGCGTTCTGGTGCATTTTTGATGCATAGAGCTACATAACAGTACAGTTCTGTGCAGGAAAAATTCAGCCTGTTCTACTTTCTTTTCTTCAACCGGAACGCACTGGAACTGCAAGCACTGATGTGAACTTTGACATTTACAGCCATATAACCTACTTTCTGGGCATTTTGGATGCAGGAAAAAAGCACACTGAAACACATGTAGTGTGAACTGGCTCTAAAAGCAGACATTTAAACCAAAAGATGGTCTTTTTTGAATATGTCTATGACATCAATAAATAATATGTGGATAATTTTTTGTTGTTTTATTGTTTTCAATTTAAACAGCCATGTGCATTAGCACTTTTGGTTGGACACATAGACTTATATGGCTTATTTTCAGATGAATCCTCTATCCCTTATATTATTTCTCAGTTCGGGCAGTGAATGTTAAGCATGTTCTCATGGGCAGTATCAGTGATGTGGCTTATTCCATTAGTTTAAATTAAGAACAAAAGGGAGACATACAAAAGTTTCCAGCTCACTGGATTTTGTAAGCCTTTGATTTCATGCTTTTCTACTGCAATTGCTAACTCCCTATATGGAGAGAGACTGTTTCACAATTGCTCTAAAACAGTTTGTTCTGTGCAACAATCTACCCTCAGTGGTCCTACCTCTGATAGTAGCAGAAGAAGTACCTTTAGGCTCACAATTATTTATGAATTAGGTCTACAGAGACTAAATATGTTAATCTTAATTCAAGGGGACTATACTCTACAACTGTACACCTGCATATACCTTTTTTTTTTTTTCAAACAAATGTCAAGCAATAAACATACAAATAATAAGTGCAATATATTTTCATGGAATGAATTGAATAATAACATTGTTATTTTTACTAACTGAACTGCAATATGGCCTTTGATAATGGCCGTTTCCTTCCTTAAAACCAGTTAGTACAGAACAACTGGTATATTTGGTATAAGAGTGGAGACCTACAGAACAACTGGTATATGGGGTAAAAGAGTGGAGAGCTACAGAACAACTGGTATATTGGGTATAACAATGGAACCTAACATGTAGTGAACCAAGCAGAGAAATATACCCCAAACCATCCAAAAATACACCTTCTCAAAAAAATAAATGTCTAGCTGTCAAATGAAATGTAATCTCCAGTAATGATAAATAACGGATTTGTTTAGTTATTTAAAAAAGAGCTACAACTGGCATTTGGTAAATGACAAAGCAAGTATTTTTCTGAGCTTCTCACAGACCCTTCATCATCTACAGAACTGATTGGCACGGTGCTATAGACTGCTGAAAGAGACCTAAGACAATGAAGGTCCACTGCCACTCCTCAGCAACTCAGTTGTTCTTTCTTGGCATATATTGTTACATTTGACTTTATTGTTCGTTCCACTTCACACATATATATATATATATATATATATGTATATCTATATACACATAAATACAACAGTATGGGATAAGGGATGGTGAAGAAGCTCAAGAACATGATGTTGGTCCTATATAACAATATTACATGTCATAGCAGTAAGAAGGTAGTCATTCTCCCTCCTCTTTTATACGCTGCTGCTTATTCCTGCGGGTGTCCATATCGAAATTGAAATCATTCCAATCATCTCGTGGAGGGAAGGAGATGGTCTGGCGAAGTGTGAAACGCACTGCGTCAATCACTCTTTCTCCGCGAGGCTCATTGCCACCCACACTGACAGAAGAAGCACTGCTGGATGTCCTTAGCAAATGGGGAGGAGTGGAGAAGTCATGGATCTGTCTGTGTTCAAGTAAACCTTTCCAAATTGCATGACGAAACTGCTCAGGGATCTTCAGATTAATCAAGTCCTATGAAAACATAAAAGAATTTAGCGTGTGGTTAACTGTTGTCACAGCAATATACAGAGTTAAAATCCATAGAGAACCCTTTATCATTCATCTTTCGACTGATTGAAGAGAATTATCTAATTGTTTGCTATGAATTATTGTTTTCAGCTCTATAAAGACTGGCTATATCTAAGCTACCTTTTATATAAAAAATATTATCTGTATTCTTGTCATGCTGGTCCACAGAAACAAAAAAGCACAAGTGTGAGCCTTATAACAGTATGCATGTAAAACACATTTGCGTGGATTTACCTGTTACAATAATTGCATAACAGCATTACAGGGAATCTTATTAATCTTATTTCACTGAACTCTATAAGCCTTTATATTAGATTTAATATACCTATACTGAGTCAAATGAGATTTTATTAGGTACAGCAGACCTTTGTTTTACAGCTATCCATTTGGTTTTATGGATCCCCCCTACCTCAAACCCCCTCAAAAGCGACATTTGGACCATCATGCTGTGTTTTATATTTCTGTTTATAGATTACAGCATGCAATGTGAGATGACAAATTATATGAGAATGTGGACATCAAAATAATAAACCTTCAAATTTCTACAATCCTCATTCAGTTTTCTGCTTAAATACTCACCTCCATGGAGTAATGCTCAATCTGATAAATGCTGCTCAGTCCCTGGGTAGTGAAAAAGTCCAGACAAGATGAACATCCCAATCTCGCTAAAAAACTATAAAAAAAAAGAGAGTAAGAGAAAAACATTTAATGCATATATAGTTGCTAAAGTAATAAAAACAAATATTATTTGGCTGAATTATCTAATATAAGAAGTAAGACAATTAATTATTAGCTGGGTGCTTTCTGAATCTTTTTCAAACTGTAGGCTGGGGAAGCTTAGAAGTTCAGTTGCTGACATCAATATTATAGCAAGTATCAATTTTGTGGATTAATCGCATTATTTAGGATAATAAGGCCACATTTTTGCCACAACCAGCCTGCAGAGCATTTAACTATGATAACAATTTACTCTTGTTATAATATCAATAACAGAAACAGAAGTCCTGCTTTTTGAAATGGTTAGACACATGTAAAGAAGCATCAAGAACTGGAAGGTCCCACTGATAGAAGAGTTTGACAGGAGAGATATTTCAAGAATGTAATGGCAAGGGGTATAGCATTTGATCAAGCAAGCAGCATAGCTTAGAGTGGCAAAGTGGTTGGGCATTTCTGACAATAAAAACAATTTTGCCCATCTGCACTATTCTAGCATAAAGTGCCCCAAACCGAGCCATATTAGCCACAGGTATGTTTAAACAGACACTAGCAAAGGACTGTGGTTGTAGAGGTAAAACTAGTGTTATCTCACCTCACGTCTTTCTTTTACTTGTCCATACGCATGCACAAATTGATTAGGGGTGGGGGATGAATCCAAGCCCAGGTGACTGTAAGGGGGGTGCAAAATACAACCCCTTACTTTTCAGATAGTCTAATTTGGTTTAGATAATGAGCAATAAAAGATGCAGAAGGCACTTGAGAAGAGTTACAAAACAACCATGCTATGCTCATGTGGGATATTGACATGCAGACTGTTAATACACAATAATGGCTACTAATATAATTAGCAGAAAGTATTCATTTTAAGGTAGCGACAATAACCTACAAGAACTGTACAGTAGGAGGATTTACTTTCCATTTTCACATAAAATGAGGATGATTTACTAAAAGAGTTATTTTCATTCTTCGCAAACTGAACCGTCCTTTCAAATGTCCAGTCGTGAGCAGGGAGATTTTAGAAAATAAGATCTTCTTGAACATGACTGGATGTTTATTCCACCAAAAGAGGGAATTCATTTTTAATAAATGCCCTCCACTGCATAGCTTAAGTCATTTAATTGAACTGAAAAAAAAAAGCCATGAAAACCCAATGCATAGATACACAGAGACACTGGTAAATTGCGATTATGCCTTCAGTGTACAATGAAATGACCTGAAATATTGGGATATTGGGAAATATGCAAGCATATTCACCATTTCACAACTTTACAGGACAATATATAAAGCTTTCATGATGTCTATAACTAAATGTCCACAGCGCTCACTCACTACACCATTTAGAGAACCACTGCTAATTGCCAATGACTTAAGTTTAAAGTGTCCTAATTAACAACCAATGAGTTTCCTTACAACCAAACTGCATGAGAAAATTCCAAAAGGAAAAATAGAATATGAGTTTGGTTAGTTGCTGTGGGCTAGTTACAGACTGCTTTTATTAATGGCACTTTTATTTTTGATTACTTATAATTGTTCCATATTCCATCAGACAGTTCTCCCCACTGCAGTCTCATTATAAACTGGTGATATTTGGTCTGCTGGACAGCATCCTCCCGCAGTTCAAAGATGTCATATGTGGACTTTGCTTTGAACATTTAAAATTACAACAAACACATATTTTTACAAATGCAAATCTACTTAATTAAGCCCATCATTAGTTAAATCATTTTTTTTTTTTTTTTTTTTGGCGAGAAATGGATTCTGTATCATAATAACATTTCAATTTAAAAAAAATAAAGGGCTTTAGTCTTCTTCAGAAGCACTTGATAATTGAATGTGTTGGGATATGTAGCTGGGGTTGTCATTACTTTGCATTCTTACCTGGCAATGCTGCAGTCTGTGGGGTATGGGGGAGGCGGTGTGCAGTGTGATGTGGAAGCCATGGAAAGCGAAGGTGGTAATGACTGAGGAGGGCTGAGCCCATTAAGATCACCAGGCATTGGCATGTGTGCCCCCATCATGAGATCTGTTAACAAGAGAAAAGAAAAATTGCAAATAAAACTATATATCATACATAGACTGATCCATCTATAATAATCTAGTTCAAAAAAGCGATTCACTTGTGTTTGTGTTCCAAAATTTCTTGTGATTGTTTGTGGTCTTGTCAGTTTGAAAGTGTTCTGGAAACCCAAAAATACATTCACCTAATTCAAACTGAGTAAAACAAATATAATGTCTAATACAAGGGCCCTATTAGGAATCCTATATATCCAACCATTGATGTTTTGAGGGGCAACAATACAGTAAAATATTTCTAAAAATGGTGTAGCAATGCAATCACTGAACCACATTTTGTAAAGGCACTGTACAGTAGATATGCTTCCCACAGCAACCTAAAGATTGCAGGTGACAGCAGGCTAGAATATTACAGAAAATTCAATAAGGAAACATTTTTTCATTTTGTTTCTGACAATGTTAAAACCCACATGGATACTGCTCAAAACACATATCATCTATTTTATATTTTGCTCTGGTTGAATTCTTTATCTTTTGCAGTCTTGAGACCAGAAACAATTAAAGGATTACAACTTCTGGGAACTGTAGAAAAGCTAACGAACTGCAGCCAAAGTATTTGAAACTAACAACAAACTCAAGCACTGCAGGGAAAATGGTTTGTTGCCTGCTTGAAGAAAGAATGTGCAACGTAACAATGTCATGGATGTAATCCATGTAAGTCTGCTTTTATAGGATATCTGCACACCTGGCAAATGCTTACTCTATGCCATAGGTTAGGATGTATTTGGCTGTAATGTTTTTCTAACATCTATTCAGAATCATGAGCTTTCCGTCTTCAGAAATGATTTAAAAACACAGCAAATTTTTACATTTGATCTCTCCTGCTTGAGGGGAGTACTTATGTGGAAACAACAGGCAACTGCCATTTCTTTTTATGTGTTTACTGCTAAAGATGAAAACTTCAAAGTGCAAGGAAATTCAGCATCAGAATCTTTTGAAATCCATTGCCTGTTCATTGAAGAGACCCATACCGCTCTTCAGTGTCAGTGTTGCCATGGAACTACTTGCTAGAGGATGTGACATCACCCTGGCCGATGGAGTGGATTTGACCCTAGTGGATGGACTACTTTGAAGGTGAACTTTCATAAGTAATAAAGTTTATTGATAAGGTTAACTTGTGCTTTGTTTTTTAATCCAAAAATATGGGAAGGTTATACAACAACCTGAATAGAAATATAACATACCATCTCAAATGTCTACTAGATTCCTATTTATTTTAAAACACATTTATGTTAAAGCGGAGTTTCAGCTGAAAAAAAAAAAATAAAAGTCATCAGCTACAAAAACTGTAGCTGCTGACTTTTAAAATACAGCCACTCACCTGTTCCTCAGTCCAGCGGTGTCCTCACCATGGCTGGTTTCACCGGCAGGCTTCTCTCCCTGGTGCCGGCATCTTCAGTGTGGGCACCTGGCTGTGACAGTTTGGGGCTTCACAGCCAGGTGCCCACTGCGCATGTGTGAGAAGCGCTGTGCTTTGAGAATGGCCCCCTAGTTTTCTGGGACCTGTCATGTGTCCCAGAAGACTATGGGGAGGGAGGGGGAATCACAGCGGAAGTGAGAGCAGGTACCTGTCAAATTCACGTACCCGCTCCCCAAAGGTGCCAATCCTTAATGGGTAGTGGGGGACAAAGACTTAAAGTGGAACTTTCCCTTTTGGGTGGAGCTCTGCTTTAAGCTTATATCCAGCTTATTAAAGAAGGTAGCAATAACCAATGTAGTAAGTAAAAGCTGCAAAACATATGGCATTCAAACACAAATCTGTCTTGTACTAATGTGACTTCAGTGAAATGAATTGAATTTTCGCTACGTGATACTAAACTTTGCACTTAGTTATTTGATGCCTGCATTGTTTAACAAATATGGTTGTCTCATTTAAGAGATGAAACCCATCTCAGATTCAATTATAAATACATCTCTCATATGTCACATGAAGTTTCCAGTAAACATAACAACACGGGCTAAAGGTATACTTACTGTTTGACCCCATTCCATCAGACATGGCATTTGGAGTAAGGGAATTTCTCTGTTGTGGGTTCATCAGCTGGCTGACAGAAGGTAGCTTGTTCATGCTATTCATCTTGCTGAGGGGAGGAGAGACTGAACCAAAGGTAGGCTGACTTTGTATTGCCGATCTGCAAAGATACAACCCATCTGAGGGTTAGTAACGCACAAGAAATAAATGCATTGGCCCTTTTTTTCATTAATATTGACATAGATTAAGAATTTACTGCCATAACAATCTAGATCTAGATCGACTAAGTCAAAGCATAATATGTTTTTAGGTATATATTAAAAAAAAAATATGTGCAAAAGTTATTTGGGAAGGGAAAGGTATTCTTATTAACTAAATGACTACCTTTTTAAAGGTTTTCTGTTTAGCCAAAAACATGTTTTCAAGGTTGATTGCTGAGTTTAGGCTCTGTAACATGCTTTGAAGTAAGGTTCTTTAATAGTATTGTTATGTAAAGTAGTTTTATGAAAGAATTCCTTTTTTTAACTACAAGTTTTTCTTTCCGTCAGCATGAAAATCTGGCAAGGTCCAGAATTATCACTTTAAAACTGCTATGAGGAAGAAGCGATATTTTTCTTTCTCCATCATTCCAGTATCAGCGCACACATCTTCCGGGCAGGTATGTGAAGAGATAGGATCATTCACTGCCCTCCAGGTATATGGCAGCAAGCCAAGTGGAGGAGGCAATGAGCATATATCCTGAGGCACAGACTGCAAGACCTAGAGATTCAGTTTCACACCTCAGATTTCAGTAAAAATTCACTGCTATTTTGATTAGCTGGGAAAATCCAAAATGGTGTTTCTAAATTTGGAGTGCTTGTACCTCCAGGGTTGCTTCAAGTACTGTTGGTTTAAGGGGTACATATGACCTGTAAATTACATTCAATTTATCCTGTTTGAGAATTAATAAAATACATCAAAGCAGATAGCTTGCCTATAATGACAAATCATTTAATATCGGGTTATCACTTTTTTCTGGGGAATCGAAGGAATCTGATCATAAAGGCAAGTTCTTGATTTTATTTAACTTTCTTTTCTCTCCTTTTCTTTTTGTTTTTTTTTAATATAGAAAAAATACACTAGGCCAAATTCACAAAGCTTTAATACAAGGAAATGATGTTTAACTATGTGGCTGTAATTTTCAAATGTTATTGGCTGTCAGCTAAAAATAACAAATTTTTTCAAAATAAAAATCTTTATTGTGATGCTTTGCTTTGACCTGAACCAACTGTGCCAAAAAAAGAACCCAGCTGCATTACATATATACATACTTTAGGTGGTATAAAATATATTAAATGATACTTAATGATAAAGATAAATACCACTGCAGTAAAAGTGCACTTTAAATAGTACTGTGACAATATTTTGGGGAGTTCATGAGCCTTCTTCAGAGTTATCTACTTTTTAGAAAACAATTGAACAGTCTTTATCTAACAACTTGCATGTTTGTAATTTGTGTGTGTCTGTGTGTATTGGAGAAGGGGGGGGGGTTGTAAACAGTGCTTAAAGTAAAAGATCCAATAATCCAGAATGGCTGGACCCTTGGCGTGTGCGTTAACTAAAAAGTGCATGGCTGTACCCAAATATTTTAGTATGTGTGAGCAGCAGTAGTTTTAATGTGTGAAATCCAAAGAGCTATTTTCAGCCCACTGTCTACATAAGGATTGGACTGCAGTTCAGATCAAATTCTCTGAAAACCTCAATAGACTTCTTTTATTAAATCATTGTGAGAAAGGCTTGCCTGAGAATTTGTATATACATACTGCTGCCTATCAAGTGACAGGCTTGAAAGCTGTTCCATTGATGATGATGCAAGATTACTGAAGCTACAAAAGCTATAATGATGTTTTTGTCTTAGTGAACTCATGATAAGAGTTAAATACAAAGAACAGGAACTGGAACAAAAACACATCTGATGTCCAAGATAAGCTAGCATAAATATTTATTGGAAATTAGGAACATGCAGTCACTCGAAACAGCACTTCAAGAAGATGCCAAGGGGAAACCCAGTGGAATTTGACCAAACAGCATTAATATTTTCCCACTTTTTTTATTCAACACTACATTTTATTTCAGAAAGACTTAGCAGAGTGACCTGTTGCATTATTAGCATGGCAAATGGAAGAAAGCACAACATTGATTTAAACATATTTGGCATATTACATTCAAGCATTTTAGATACTACAGGTATCTTGACACATTATGTTTACAGACAGGTATATCATGGAGCACAATAACCTTTAGCTAAGTGACCCTATGAGGATAGAAATATGAAATCTGCAATTACACATGTGCTTTTAAAGGTTCAGGTAGTGGGGTTATAATCCTGATCCCTGATTTACTATCTAATATGTCACAGACCCTGGACAAGTATGTAGGATGGGAGTTTAGACTTTTTAGAATTCACTGACTGCATGCATGTTACAGACCAATGACTAACTCAGTAGTTAAACCAAGATCAGAAACACATTAAGGTTCCAAATCTGCTCATTTTAAGCCAGGTCAGAAATGGAAGAAATCGAATATTCCATCTTTATCTTTACAGATTTGCTCTAAAGCCTAAGTAAAGCCAATATAATAATAAAGAAAGAAAATAAGAAAAATTGGTACAGGGGACAGAACTAAGGAGTTGTCACAGGCTCTTATGAACAGCCTATGTTTGCCCCTTCTGCCCAAAGTTTTCATAGATGCTGTACTACAACTTCTATGAATGAAACACAATCTATGAATGGAGGACAGGTGAATGATTGATAGGCCTGCTCCCTTCATGGGGACATGGACGGAGGAGAAATTCCCTAAAAAAAGAGACATCAACACAAGGGACACATCCTACTGACTGTAACTTATTTCACTTGTGCCGATTTTTTTTTTCTGCATTTAGGCTGTAATAATATTGCAAATAGCAATATTATTAAAATTGTAAAAAGCAATGGCAATCCATTATTCATGGCAAACAATCAGTTTGGACTGATTATTCTAGCCACACTAAACTGTTTAAAACTGATATCTGATTGTTGGCACTAGTTGCTGAATTATAGTTCTCATAATTTACTGTTGAACAATCGTGCCACTTGCTTACACAAAAACTATTACTACAACATATGTAAATATTGGTTCGATAGTAGAAGATAGTATACGTTATATTATTATCTTTCTATAGCTCATTCCACATAGTATCCAATATCAAAACACTAAACGGGTGGCTATTCAAGGCAAATAAATTTTCGTTGCCCTCCACCAGGTTGAATTACCAACCTGGCCCATATATGTCCTGTGGATTGCTTGGTCTACCTATCAGCTATAAGGAATCGCACTCTAAGCATAAGGTTTTACTCAGTGTATCTTATGCTACAGGACTGAGGTGACCAGGCGACTAAACCAGAAACATCAGCTAAAAGCTTTTTCATAGGAGCCATTTGGCACAAGATAAAATAAGCCACTGAATAATTCAATCTATCAGTAGCCAGCTGTACACTTGAAATATAAGTGTTCAGTGCACTGACCCTTTTTTGTAGAGAATTTTGGGTATAACATGCTCTGAAATTGATTTAAAAACATTGACTTGTTTAACTTATTCCCCCTAAAATTTTAATAAACACAAGCACTCCAGACAATATGTTAACATTGTCTGAAATAAAAGGAACACACATTTTCATTTAGATCTGTCCAGCAGTACTTATCTCAAATGACCAGCATTCATAAGCATGAACAGCTAGGAAAAAGCCTCTTCCTAGTATACAACATTCTTATTACAATACACAAAAATATTATAAAAAATATATGTTTACATTTGAGACCAGCTCAAAATCTAGCACAACATATATTACATACTCCAGACAAGTATTTGCCACCAGCAAGCAGAAGCTAAAAAACATATAAACTGTTAAAATGGCAAATCAACACTTGAGTCCCTTTATAGAATGCTACATAAGGTTACATTCACCATGGAAAAAAAGGCTAAATATGTCATCCCATGAACTTGTAGAATGTGCTGTTTTAACAGTTCTTCTACAAAGGCATCACTAAGAGCCACTTTACACCAGAGTACTGCCCATTAAAAGTCATTTTAGGCAAGTCAATGCATGACAGTTCAGTACAATGGCAGTTCTTGTGGCCACTGCTGACAATCCACTGTTGGCACCAGTGCATGACAGTACAATGTATTATCAGTGGTGCAAACAGTGCATACCACATTGCTCAATGTTGTGTACTGAGGCTGGTATGAGATACATCATATGCCTTTAGTCTTGTGCAAATTGGTACCTTCCAACTGTTGTGACGTTGAATTACAAGTACCATACTGTTACAAAGCCTTCTGCAAAACATTTATGAAGTTCTCCTTCCATATCAGATGTAGAACTATGGACAGCTGCATTCAAGTAGAGAGAAGTCCAGTAACTCTTAGAAACCAACAGGAATTCATATTACACCAGTAAGGGCATCAGTAAACTGGTTGTAAAGAGCTAGTGTACTTTCCTCAGTATCATTGGACTTGTACTGCCTTTTAGTGGTGGTCAGAGTTTAAATAATTCCTGTGGTATATATGCTATCAACAATACTTTGATTTAAAAAAAAAAAAAAGGCATAAGGAAGTAGATATTGTAGGAATGTTAAACTCTCACTTTAAAACCAGACTCTTATATTGCATATTTGCACAAACAAGGGATATTTTATTTAGGATCTAATGCAATAGGCTCTGCTAGAAACCAAAATAACTCAGGAAGTGCTTATTTCAAGCAGAGTGCACTAAAGTATCACTTTTTATTTAAATAAACCCTGTATAAAATGTCCCTACCTGTAACTCAGTGTTAACGATTACATTTCAAATGAAGACATACACAATAGTGACAGCACAATTTTGCAGCATTTCAGACTTTGTCATGGAGCATTCTTCTCTTTAAATCCATCAATTTGTCAATATTGTAGAAACAGTTCAAATTTACTTTTTCCCAATGGAAAAGCATCATTCCCTTTACAATGAAGAATGATTCCCCAGAAAAAGTCCTTTTTATGTTCCTTTTCTTAAATTGTGGGGATGAGTAGGGCAGTTAGAAAGTGCATACATAGTTCATGGATACATTGGGAGGTGAGAAAATGTGGAGTGTTTTGGGAAAGAATCTTTGTCTTTCAGAAGATCTGCCCGGGGATCCATAAGTTCATTCCGGAAACAGGCCGTTAGGAGCCTGTAGAAAAGAAACCAGAGAAGAAAAGAACAAGAGCTGATGACCATGAAGAGTTGAAAGATGCAGTGACACCACTATGACCACAGTGTGATGAAATGATGGATTGAGGGAAACTTAGAATGATTTTACCAGACTGAAAATATTTTCTTAAAAAACACCATAGTGAGAATGTCAGAAGCATAATAGATCCCCTTATGCAGACTATATGAAAATGAAATTTCTGCAGCCAATCAAATTCTAGCTTACTGGCTATTTAGACAATAAAGCAACTTTTCTTTCCTGTGTATTTATGGGAAAGAATCATTAATCTTTACAGTCTGAGAATGAGGCAAAAGCTTCACATTCAGAAGTGAATTAAGGACAAAACAAGTAAAATGTTCTGGCCAGAAGTACAAGATTTCTAAATCTGTCCCTTATTGTGAGAAACTTGGCACATAGAACAAATAATCATACAATATTGCCTTTCTGAGAACCTGGACGTGAAAGAGCAAGTGTACCACATAGGTCTAAAAACAAAGGCTTACAATGTTGGGATTACAACACGTGCCAGCGCTGTAATTTCCTGAAATTCAAGCCAATTGAATGAGTGCGGAGCTAACAGCATGCTCTAGGTAGAATGAAATCTAATGCTTCCTCTGCTTTTCCGTTTTGATATATCTCCAGTAACAAAACAATCTAAATGCCTAAAATCTAAAATAACAAGTCAAGCATAATACTATAGAATGCAGCCTTTTATTAGTTTGGGACACTTGTAATCTTTTATTAGCGTTATCTCTATTATCTGACCGATCAAAATTTCATATTATCTTTACCAGATTATGATGTACAGCATTGCATATGCCTAGTGATGAATGCACCCTACTGTTTTCTCTTGAAATATTTATCAGGCTAACCCTGGTTATGTATAGAAAAACTATCACACCTGACTGAACTTAGAATTTATCTGGCCAGTTTTACCATATTTACCAGGCATGGGACCAAATCTGGACACACGGGCCAGTGAATGACAGTTTATAAAGTTTATACTGTGGTCCTTTTATGGGGATTATCTCTCTGTATGGACAGAAAGTAAGGAAAATTCCACAATTCAGAGATGTCACTAAAATAAAAATAGAGGGTAAATCTTCCAATGGGGGCACTTGCTCCAGGGACAACTGTCTATAAGAGCATTTCCCCCTTGGAAGAAATTTCCTACTTCCTGCTGTATTTACAGGACAAGAAGTGAAGAAAACTCTCTCCAAGTGATGCATTGCAAAACAATTAAATAAATTCATGAATTAACTAACAGGGGATCTTAACCATTCTCTATTCTATTCAAAATGCAAAAAAAAAAAAAAAAAAAAAAAACATTTTGCATTTACAATTAGTTTAAGTGTCCCCAAAAATATTACATTGGAAGTCTCCCTATAAACAAAGATGCAGTTTTGTGTGTTATTTGCAGATTTTTTTTATATCAATATTTGAATTAGGGGGAGATTTACTAAAACTGGTGCACACATAATCTGGTGCAGTTGTGGGTAGTAACCAATAAGATTCAAACTTCAGCTCTGAATGGTTACTATGCATTATTGCAGAAGAGTCTGTGTACACCAGTTTTAGTAAATCTTCCCCTTAAAGTCAATTTAAAAGTGATAGTTGCAGTTAGGGCCTGAACCATTGGGTTTAACTGTTGAAATGTTTATATGCATATCCAATCAAAAAAAATAACCTATTATTGTCAAAAGGTATAAAGGTAGAACACTGGTAAATTTCTCACACTATCAAATGCTATATAGATATGGGTCCTTTTCGGCATTTTTGTTGAATGCGTAATGACTTAACTTAGAATGGGAATTGGCCTTTCCCCCACATAGTATTTAATACAGTGACCTACAAAACATTTACTATAAACTGTCAAGTATTGAACTGATACATGTGAGTACATAAACTATAATACACAGGAAACTTAGCTGATAGAGAAACAATACATCAATGCCTAATTGGTACATTAGGTAATGTATTTTTTTTTTATCTTTGTGGGTGAGCTGAAATTTGAGCAGTCACACTGTGATCATAGAGGTGCGGGGGTTAGTGAGAAAAAATAAACGAAATGCATTAAAAGAAATCCGACATGCAGAATGGAAGACATGAAAGAGGACGAAAGAAGCATGATATGCACAGTAATGTCAACCGTGAAAGGGTAGTCAATATTTCTACAAACCGTGTACAATGGCAGCTAATTATTTTTTTGCACTGCATGGGAAATCTCTCAGTAAAGAGATTCATTTAAATCTGTTTATTTTTGGTTTTATTTTCTCTTTGTTATTATTTCTCATCTTAGGAAATGTCATAGAATTTGATCTCACTTTAACCATATGCTGCATATACCATCAATAGTACATTAATTTCAGGAACAACTTTCTTTTTTTCACCAGTCTAGAAGATAACATGTAGGTTTATTTAATACAATAAAGATTGAATTGCAGTAAGCCATAGCAACTAATCATACCTAATTTTTTTACTGATCTGACCACAGTGAAAAGAAATCTGATGGAATGATTTGATGAGTTACGGCAGCAATTTTCTTTGCAGTCCCTTAAAAAACTCACCTTTTTAAAATAATAAATGCACATCTTTTTGCAGGTAAAACAAACTGTGTATTTATTATTTTTTTTACTTGGAGCCTAGAAAACATTGCACCCACTAATAGCAGATCATGGGTGCCATGGAGGACTCCTGCAAACTTGTCAGAGAATCTGTCTGCTCGTACAGGCAGGCAGATACACACTGACAGGAAGAGGCAACGAACTTCCACAGAGCTCAACAGCACCATGGTAGTTCACTGAGAACTACAAGCTGACAAGCTTAAAGGTTGTCAGTACTCATAGTTTTCCATTCACAGAACTCTGTTAGAGGAGCCCCGCTTGGCCAAGTTTTTTTTTTTTTTTTTTTTTTCAAAGTGACAGCTAGCAGGGGAAGAAGATTCCCACTAGATGTAGCTAGATGCAGTAGTGCGGTCAGTGGCTCCGAGAGTGGAAACAGGTTACATGTTCCACCCTAAAAATGGGTGAAACATGTAAAATGTTCCATAAGGTAAACTTATCCTTTAAACTGAACCATCCACTTTTTTCTTTTTGCAGAAAGCAGCCTATTATCTTTATGGAGTCTGCATGGGGTTATTCCCTACTACTCTATGTCTGGATGACTTAAAGAATTGCATTGTAACATTATTCCAGATGCAAAAATATAATACTTTGTCTAAATAGTACTAGATGGCCAAGCAATATTTTGTAAGTCATAGTCTCTTTATTGAATAACCCCTAAAGTACCTATTACTTTATTATTGAATGCATTCATAATTTTGTTTTCTGCTACTGGTACCTTTATTTTGTTAACTGGCATTAGAATCAACACTACAGTATGAATTTGAGGTCATGAGCGTTCTATTGTGTTCCTACTGGTCAACTTTTGTTGTATGCAGCTTAAGAGAAAAATTGCATAATAAATCAAGTGCATGTACCTAATGAGTTATCTTAAAATACAAAAAAAAGAAAACAAAAACATTTGGATAGGATGAATCAATGTTTTTAAGTGGAGAGTAGAGTGATAAAGGGCTAGAAGTTAGAACCTCTGTTACGTTTAATGGCTGTTCAGTGTGTTCCCCATCAGGAATTTTTCCCTCACTTCCTGTTCCCAGGTCACTGGGACAAGAAATACGAGAAAACTCCTCAGTGGGTATTATCAAAGTGATGGCTAGGTGGGTAATTTTTAGTCAACTATAACTATAAGAAGCCAGATGTAAACCAAAACCTACGTATTTGTTGTTTGATCATTCCAATACATATGCATAACTAAAAACAAGGATTATGAGATTAGGGACAACAATAGATGACAAATGAACTAAGATACTACAGAGTACACACACTTTGATTACAAAGCCAGTCCATGAATGGAACGGGCTCATCTTCAACTGAATAGACAAGGGGATAGAATTATACTAACTAAAAAAGTAGTTTAATTTGCATTTTGGTCTGTTAGAGAATGGTTTCCATAATGATGCATGTTACCAATGTCTGCTCTCCATTTTTATTTGCCACAGTTATTGAAAAATTAGTTACTGCGAAAAAAAAGGGTGGTTTTCTGTTCTTGTCCCTAGCCAATTTAATAATGCCCACTTCTAAATAGTATATTATTCAAAAAACTACACAAAAAATAAGAAGCCGTGACAGCCAACAAAAAGTCCTCACTAGATGTAGCAAAGGAGTTGGGATTTTGAGTTGTTCATATAAAATATGGTAAATACAATTCACTACATTAGAATTGTCCTGATTGACAGATATAGATTTAGATGGCACAGTGCCATCAGAGCTGGTTGATTTCATTATCTACAATTTGAGTTTAATTATAGATTTAGAATCACATCTCCCAATGTTACACATTGTTTTTTATGGTATCTGCAGTATGAAAACATACACATAATAGTAAAATAGCAAGATAAATAATTTGGAATTGAAAAAAAAACTCAGACTTGGACATAATAAATGTCATTTAAAATAATGCATGCATATGCAAATTAAACGGCAGGCACAAACAGGTCAGATTTGGAAAAGTACATATAACTGATCTATTTATGTATTATAAATATACTCACTGTTTCTGCAATAGATGTTGCTGTTGTTGTCTGTAGGTTTCAATCGTGTGTTGGGGAAGGTACTGCATAAGTTCTAGAGACTCTTTAATTTTTAATAAAGTTTCATATATTTCTCTGCCTTTTACCTGCAAATATCAATAAAATAAAAATGAAAGCGCTGAGCATAGTGTTTTTAGTGTTTGATCTGTTTTAGCAATGAACCATATATAATAAAAAGTATGATAAATAAAGATAATATAATAATATATTATATAATAATAATAAAATAACATCAGAAAGATTACATTATTTTTAAGTGTTAATTCTTAAGAGCAGCAACTCATATTAACGAATCAGAATCTACCTTGTAATGGTCTGATTTAAGTTCGATGGATTCTAGTTGCTTAGGATTACAGTGCCTAAGAATGTATCCTAGAGGTACTAAATGGGGTTGATTCACTAATGGCAAATAGACTATGCACTTTGCAAGTGCAGTTTCACCCAGAGCCTAGTGAATGTGGTGAAGCTTCCCTTTGTAAAGAATACCCAATCGGGGGAAGGAAAGTTTAAAAAATAAATAATTTTTGCTTGCACATGATTGGCTGATGGAAATCAGCAGAGCTTCACCACATTTAATAAGGTCTGTGGAAAATGAGTGTAACTGCACTTGCAAAGTGCACAGTCTATTTCGCTTTAGTAAATCAACCCCGATGCATACACTTATGGTATAAAACTATACATTTGCTAGGAAATTTGACAGAGGTGTAGTAGCATAAAGTTAGGAAATAATGCACAATGTATTGACTTACAGGTATGTACAACACTTCATCATCTGGTGACCGCCGTTTTTTAATAGATGCCATTTGAATTCCATGTGTGCTCTGTCTAAAACCTGAAACATCAAAAGACATTTTTATAATTAATTTTTTAACTTATTTAAATAGTCCTTTCTGTTCCAAAAAACTGCTAGAATTGCTAGTAAGCTTACATCTATGCTCCCATGTATGTAACACATATCTAGTATTCTGGTAATAACATTAGTTGCTGCTACAAGCCATATTGCAGACACTTACATTGTTTCATACCTTCGCCACTCTTTGTACTGTCTGAGACTTGCTGCTTGCGAATGCTGTCCTCATCTGCCTTACGGTCTCTTCCAGGACAAGCACAAATCCGAGCCTCAAAACACCGGCGCCCAAGCACTTGACCGCTGTAAAAAAAAATGATGTTGTTATAGACTATAGTAAATAACAAATTAGCATAACATACTGATTACTAAAACTGGAGCGCTCAGAATCTGGTGCACTTGTGCATGGTAGCCAATCAGCTTCTAAATTCAGCTTCCTCAACTTTGACTATAAAAACCTGGAAGCTGATTGGTTTCTTTGAAGAGCTGCACCAGATTTTGCACTCTTTAGTTTTAGTAAATCCCCCTCACTGCAATGATGAATATGAATAATGTTAGGGAATAACATTTGTTCTGTAGTAGCTTAGTAGGGCAGAACAAAAAACATTTTTTTCTACAAAGAATTGCTGGCTTTCTGTTGAGTATTGTACATTGTTCTGTACTGTGCAGAGGATTTAGGTGCAAGATCAAATAAAACAAAGTATGTTTACTTACTCTCTTGTTTCCAGCGTTACTATGATCAATATTGGTCGGCGATTCATTCCTCCAACACAGCTGCTGTTGCACATGAAGTTGTATAATATTGTTGTGAACTCAGTGCCAACCTATAAAGAATTTCATGGAGATTAAATATTATATTTGACAGTATATTAACTCTATTGACATTTTCAAAATATATAGTTTAGAAATAATATTGATACCTCCAAAGATGATTCAGATTATTAAGTGACACTGACCTGTGGGGGTTCATATGGTACCAGAACACTCTGTCTGCCAGTGATTGGATCCTCCACATACTGTGCATGGCTATTTCCTTCAACTCTTATAAGATGGCTTGGGGGAGCTATTTGCCCTACAGATAAAGAAAAATAAATCACTGAAAGCAATAACACTCATTACACTTTATGTCTGTGAAAGTTACTTATACATAAATACATCTGTTATAATGAAAGGTCTGAGAACTGTACATTCGTGAAAAGATTTTCAAGGCTGCAAATTGCATTCCTTATTTAAAAAGCTTTTCTTTCACAGGCTGTAGTGCATGATCTGTAATTCTTTATTTAACGCCTGTTTGATAGGCTTTAAAAAAGTGGCTCCTTCTGTAGCTCCCCTGCATTCACCAGCTAAGGAATAACAAAAGATCTAGGGCCCATTTGCACAAGAATTTGGTGCAAGAGACCACAGTTCTGTGCCAGTTTCCTGCACCATATTTCAATTACACTGCCCTTGTAAACTGCAGTAGGTGTCAGTGCAAAATTATGTGTTTTCATGCACAGGATCACATGGTACAAACGTACCATGCGATCTGGTTGCACTGCGTTTCCAAAAGTAGTGCATGCACTACTTCTGATGTGTACAGTGCAATTTTAGTCCATTCAATATAAATGAGCCGAGATTGCACTGCACAGAACTTCATGTTAATGGTCCAGGAGCATTCAGGGCATTCCTGTGCAATTCACATGCAGTTTCTATTGTGAATGGACCCTAAAGCTAGGCTCTGGGCACAAAAACTTTCATGTAAATGTATTACTCAATAGCCATAGAGGATATAAATTAACTTTATGTATACCAACTGCCTTTGCAAACCAATAAAAGTAGCAGTGCCATCACTGTGCTGTACATATCCTGTGCAGAGAGAAGAGTTGTGTGATAGATCTAAAAAACACCCACACACTTCAGGCTACCTTCAGGCAGAGAACTACAGGAGGAGGGGGATACAAGACCAGTCATTGCGCACAAGGTGAGAGAGCAGGATGACTGTTCTTGAAAGCAGTAAGCTCAAGCAAAAATGAAACTTTAATGCAGGATTTCTGCACAGATCTGGTAAAAAAATATTCAAGGTGCACCAAGGTTCACAATGTACATGCCTCTTGTATTTAGACAATATTCGCTTATTTTGGGGTCTACTGCCTAGAGACATGCGTGGGGCTTTTACTGGCACCAACGTGTTCATTTACATTTAGCACAGGAAGAGATGTGTTTTTGATTCTAGGAATGGAAAAATCAGAGAAAAGGGTGTGCAAAGTGTGCAAAGTTCAAGAACCTACAACAAACCAGCAAATTTCCACTTTATTATATGTATAGTTAGAAAACACAAAAAATTTCAGATTGGCTGCCAAGGATTACTGTATTTTACACACATCTCTTTGCTTCACTGAAATCAATTACATTTGCTATGTAAATAATCAGATGTGTTTAAATCTATGATCCATAATTCAGTTCTATGACAGTATTTGTTCATACCCTCATTAAATTCCCGGCTGAGCTCATGGTTTGGGCATCGCTTTACAACTTCTGTTACATGTTCTGCTTTTTTGTAGACTGGCATTGCCCTTATAACTGCCCCTTGTGGTGGAGGAGTCATCACCTTGATCTGAATTGGACAAGTTTTGGCAATCTGGCAGTACAGCTTCTTGAGGTCAGTAGAATACTGGAAACAAATAGATATAGAATTATCAATGACTGAAAGTAATTCACCAAAAAAGCTAAAAACAAAGCAGGTTCATATCACAATTAGTGGCTTTTGCAATCTAACATCTGCCTATTCTATGCTCATAATCCAGGTTAAGATGCTAATCATTTTATTACTATTACCTCCTGATTTACCATATCCCATACATAATGTCCAGCTGCAAGAACAATCCGATAAACAATGTTTAATGCTGTGTATAATGGGTGCAGCAGAATAAAATATATGATTCACAAAAGAAAGTGTACTGTTATATGTAATTAGTACACTGGATTGAGCATATAGTGTAGTATGCATATTACATTTTAGATTATTTAGAGTAGTGTTATGGGCTTCTTTGTATTTTACAGCCAAGATACACAGCTATGTTTTATATAGTTTTTTTTTTATATTTCTGCGGTGATAACTAGCCTATATATGAATCACCAGTAAATGATGATGCCAAGTAATATTTCCTACATTGGTATATACATGTGGCTCTTGAATAATTTCTGTATTGCCCTACCCTAAATATATGGTTGGCTAGCACCTGAATCAATATTTATAAGAATTGGTCATTTCCATGGATGGCAAAGTCTACTACATGTTTGTACAGCTATAGCAAACCTAAATATGTTTGGAGTTCTACTTTAGATATCCATAGACATGAAATTGTGGTCATATATGTGGGTACAATTTGACCTCAGAAAAATGGCTTGGTCATACAGTTATTAAAGATAAACTGCTTAATTCATGAACATGCACACTTGCCCAAGCATACATATTTATGAAATATTGGAAACTGCAAACAAACTATGGACCTGCCTTATTTTGGGGGGAAGCAGTGACAATTAGCTGAAAATTCAAACCTAGCCAAAACTGTTTACTGGTACCCACTTCTTTATAGACCTGATGATGTTAATATTAAGATAAAGCTTTATCTTATGTCTTTGTGAGAAGAAGGAGTATCTGAGTGGTTGGTATAAGCTACATAGACAGTTCTTACAGACACTTTCATGCATGAGATCCATTAGGGGCTATTCATCTGATGATTAATCACTAATGAATACGATGAAGCTGTTGCTCACTTTGAATGTCCAATCATTTACACGGAAAATTTTTAAAACATTCTTGCAAATCCTGACTGGGTATTCAATAATGCAGTCAAATAGTGGACCTTCAATGAGCCCTACACTGTTTATTCTTATGCATTCTCTTTTAGAATAGAACTATTGGCTGCATTAAAACTGCATTGATTTAACAGAACCATGACTGCATCCTAAAAGAGCAACAGATATGCTGAGTATACTGAACAATAAAAATACATAGGACACATAAAACAAATAAATAACTGATGTTAATGTACAATGCTTTCTATTTCCAACTTCTGCCCACACTGTATGATGCCTTCTCAAGTCAGGGCTGACGTTAAGGTAACAGAGCTTTCAGAAATGCTGTAGGACATTGTGCAACACAGCTCATGCCTTCAGGCGATGGATTAAAATACAAAAGATCCATGTAGCCTCCGGATATAGAAAATGCAGCCAAAAGATAAACATATTTTAAATGTTAAATTGCGAAAGACTGTCTTAGATTCCTTTATTCCAAACTTCACTGAGAAGAAGGGGGGGATTGCTATGTATCAGAAAGTCAGAATGAAAAAAAAAATGCGGATTATTAACCCTCTCTTCCACATTTACTGATCAGTTGTTTCCTGCCTGTAACATTAAAGTGAAATTCTAGGCGTGAACGATAATCTCCCCCAGAATTCTATGATTAAAGGCATCCACTTCTGTATTATCCACCTTTTATTTTATAAATGGTGGATTAGAAACAACTATCAAGCCAGCCAGAACCCCTCCTCTCTTGGACTGACAACGGTTGGTTTGAGCAGCCAAGTGTGGCTGCTCACTGACACTTCCATGTACCGTTGTCGGTCCCATTTCTCCCAGCCAGCCAACTCCGCTCCGCCCCACTCAGTCCTGCCTCTTATTCCCCTTTTGTCACATGCCTTCTCATGAATGCCACCACAGGGGGATTGCAGTCATGTGATGGGGAGTAATACTGCATTAAAAAAGGTATAAAAGTGATTTTCAGCTTTTGTGGTGTATAAGGAAAGTTAATGATCGCTTAGGGTTACGGTGGCCCGTTCAAGGCACTAAAACTTTACAATCACTTTATTACTCCTGTAAAAAAAAATTTTATCAAAAACTCTGATGAACAATTAACAAACAAAAACCTTGTTCCGTTTTTGGACATTTTAGGATGCACAATGATATCTTAAACCTGTGCGTGACTGAATCATAACTTGTGATTGTCAAATATTAAAGGAGTGTCCAGTGAGAAATAATGAACATTTGATGGAAGTGCTCCTTGACCTAATCTATTGGAGAATTTCTATGTATAAAAATAATCCATATATTGACAATAAGTGTTATTCAACTGGGACAATAACAGTTAGTCTATCTATCTATCTATCTATCTATCTATCTATCTATCTATCTATCTATCTATCTATCTATCTTATTGATCTTGAGTCCCCTAACCTACACACAAGGGTGAAATTGTTCTCCCAGTTCCTGTTTGTTTCACCTGAATCTGCACCCATTGTGAAGTAATCCAGTTTTAAACAGTCTGTGAATTCCATTACTAGTACCCATCCAACCATTTTGCATGTACTAGAAAATCAGAACAAACAGTTGAAAAATATAGCCTGAGGAAGTATGTCTTGCAAGTGATATCCAGTATGCCTATTGCTGCAATGATGGCTCAAGTTACTTGGCATGCAATTTCCATTCAGCTCCTTGTTTTCAGGTTCACCTGCAATGTCATGTTTAAATAAGCAGTTTTCAGGTAGGCGAGTCAGAGAACAACAGCAGATTGGGGTACATTAATAATAACACGTTTTAAAAGAACATTCCAATGAATATAACCCTCTCCACACCACCTGCCTGCTGAATTACAGGGTCTTGGCATCATACTCAGAATTCCTATTACAATGTGTGTTCATGCCAGGTTCCAATACCAGACACCTGTCTGCTTCCTCAATAAGCTGTACTCAATCATTGCCATTACTTTTTCTGTTTCTTTTACGGCACAAAACCAATAACAAATAACAGCATACTATTAAGTTAAGGACTTTAATAAGTCATTTAGTTATGTGATTTTTTTCAAGATTCCAGAAGAGCAATTTTAGAATCCATTAGGTAAAATCAACAATATGAGGAAATTGCTGTTACAGAGCTGTAACAGATTGGCTTGAACATAGGCTATGCATATAAAAGGTAAATCATTTTGTGCCTGTAGAAAAATAGATTTACCTTTGATGTACAACTTATGCCACCTATAGACAGCTATAGGCAGTCAAATCTTTATTTAGTTTTGTTGAGTGATAAGACATCTATCAATTTTCTATATAACTGCATAAACCACAAGTTTTTGTTCATTTCAGTTTTTTTTTTTTTTTACTGCAACTGGATTTATGGCCTGTGTAACAAAAATATAGAAACCTGATTTTTTGGGAAGAAATAAAAAAGATCTTTCAGCGTAAGGCCAGCCTTTGTTTTGCATAGAGTAGGGATGGATTAGAATCCCTCTCTGGATTTTACTGCTATCCGGGACTTCGATTGATTTTGACTCACTTCCTGTCTGGTGAAATAATTTTTAAAGGACGAATTGAGAGTAAAAATCTTCTAACAGAACCCTGGATAGCAGTGAAAACCTGAGAGGGGTACTAATTTTTCCTCACTCTATCCAAAACTAGAAACAAATTTCACTTTGACATACACCTTAAGTGGTAAATTATTAGGGTTCATATACACCACACTTTCCTTAAAGTGGTTGTACAGGCCAAAGGTTTATGACAGAATAGAATGCATTAAGGTAAAAAGCCTTCTGTGTGCTGACTCCGCCAATACTCATCTAAGCACTCTGTCGATATAGCAATGTGCACGGGAACCTTGGCTGTCTTAGTTCTCTCTTTCCTCATTGGCTGAGACACAGCAGAGGGAGCCATTGGCTCCTACTACTGTCAATCATAGCCAGTGAGCCAGTGAGGCAGGAGCAAGCCGAGATGTGGCTCTTTGTGTCTTATGGATGCAAAGAATGGGGCTCAGGAGAAAGAACGCACCAGTGCCCCCATAGCAAGAGACCAGCGCCCCGCTGGTCAAAAGGGAGGAGACAGGATCTCTGGCAGGGGACCCGAAAAGAAAAGGTTAGGGGCTGCTCTGTGCAAACCCATTATAAAACCCATTACACAGAGCAGGTAAGTATGACATTTTATTAAAAAAAAAAAAAGAAGCTTTAATATTACTTTGATTGGAAATCTCTACATGGGGAGAACATTAAAAGTTCTGTACTGTTGTTTTCAGTGATACACTTCATAAAATACATTTTCAGAAGGTAAATTGTTTTTCTAAAATGTCTACTTTTATTATTACAGTTATCATTTTTTGGTCAGAGTTCAGTGAACTAGGAAAACTTAGTATTGTATACATTTATAGGTATGCGCAAAAAAAATTTAAAACCCCCTCACTGAATGTTTACATTGCATTTAATAATTGAAAAACAGGGGATCTTTGTCATTTCCTACAGATCCTAAAACAGAAATCATGAACACTGTTTATTCAGTGTAGAAAGAACATGTTTTAAACTGCTGCTCCAACATCTTCCTGAAATGGTCAACATAGTGTTGAATGGGCCTATAATGTGGATGGAGAGGTATTTATTTAGTTGTACTTTGTGCTTCTGTAGTCTAGCACTCAAGCTTATATGCTGCCTCCTGCCACCTGTCAGTCATATGAGATTAATTATTTGGGCGGCCAGTGCTGGGAGCGTCACATTCCAACCTGGCCGCACCCAGAGGTGTTGACATCAGACAGGTGAGGTCCCCCTCCTAAAACGCTTGGAAGATTGTAGTCTGGCCCCACCCTGTAATGTCCCACTCTCTATATGGCCCCTCCAGGCAGAATGTGAGAGCACTA